AAGGACCAATGCCCGTATAAGCTGTCCTACAACGTTTGGACCCTGGCAGTTCGTCAACCACGTACCGATCGTCATCGAGTACGTTCCTAACTAGGGTCCTTTACAAAGGCTCAAGCTTCCTGCTTCGTCCGTCATTGGAGCCTTTATTTGCTTGGCCAACCTTCAATTTTCTTAACTGGGCATGCTCATTATCGTAACACATATTTTGGTACCTCTGCGCATCCTATCGGGGTTATGATGGACAAGCAATGCTATTCCTAACTGACAGGCCATTTGTAAACATATTGTTATTTCTATGTACAAAATAACAGACCTGTCAAAAACAACACAAGTTGTCAATCATAAACCCTTTTATCTTTTCAGAAAACTTATTTCTGATCATTTCCAAATCTGGACATTCGTTATCGTCACAGACTTCAGCCGTCAAACATCATTAACTCATCCAGGACTATCGAGATAGAATGAAGTAGAGACAACATAAACACTTTTTTGCCATATAACAGATGAACGAACTTCGAGTAATCGAAAAGTGTAATAAAAATACGACTTAAGAGTCGTACGTTGATTTATTTGAATTCAATAATTTCATGTTTGAAGATTGACGAAACGAAAATGTTTTTATATCACTTAATTGAAGTTATTTTACAAAAAGGCATTTATTCTCACCAACAGTGACTAGTATCGTGATAGTATCTCCTCTTCATTCCATCTCAATATCCAAATAGTTCGAAGGGAGTTTTCCCTGTAGTGGAATTAACGGTCAAATTAATTCCCCATTTTACATCTGCTACAGCTTCGTCCCAACGATTTTCGTCATTAGTTGAAGCTATAACTGTTCACCGTTCTACTTGGCCGTAAGCCCGATGAGTCTAAGTAGTACATACTACATGTTTAACACCTAAAGTCAAACATACCTGTTTAACACCTAAAGTTAAATACACTTGTTTAACACCTAAAGTTAAACACACTTGTTTAACATCTAATGTTAAACATATCTTAACACCTAAAGTTAACAGTATTCCTTAAATTTTTTTTTATAAAATCAGTGTCACAGTTGCAAATAAAACTGCGATGAACCCTGAACATTTCTATTACGTCATCTAGAAATTCAGTACAGGCACCAGCCAGTTTTTGTGTTCTTGTATCAATTTTAAAAATACAAATTTCGTAAAGCCGTTAACTGCTACGATGAGATAAAAGTTTTCCCCAATACTCTTATATAAATTTCTTAAAACCGTTAATCGATATGATGAAATACGAGTTTTCCTAACACTTTTATAAAAATTTCTTAAAGCCGTTAATTGATAAGATGAGATACGAGTTTTCCTAACACTTTTACAAATTTCTTAAAGCCGTTAATTGATATGATGAGATACTAGTTTTCCTAACACTTATACAAATTTCTTAAAGCCGTTAATTGATATGATGAGATACTAGTTTTCCTAACACTCTTATACAAATTTAGTAAAGTCGTCAACTGCTAAATGACCTATCACGAGGGTGATGCAATTTACTAACATTAAAATTATTAGTCATGCTGTTTTTTGGGATAAACCATCTCTTTCCTTTTGCAGTTTTTGAAAGTCGTCTATTCTTTATACAATATTCTTTATAAATTTGTCGTTCTTCATTTCGTAATTATCTCTAGGATATCGTGACAAAACATTCATAATATTATTACAAGCGTTGCCTTGAAGTATCCGGTCATCTTCTTTAATATTTACAATCATTACGTCAAGTCATTGATCCGTGGGTATAATAGTACTTCGGCTCAGATCGTCTACGTGGCTGATCTTAGTGACATACATGGTATTCAATACCAAAATCGAATTCTTGAATTGATAGCCACTATCTTGCGATGCGAAGAATTAAATCTCGTTTTATACGGGTGTTACAAAGTAAATTACAATCGGTGACGATTTTAACTTTATGCCACTTAAAACTGAACTTTTTAAATGCGCATACAGCCGCCAAAGTTTCACTCTCATGAATAATATTTTTGCTCTTCTTTGGTTTTGGCTCTACTAAATTTTATACTAGCCTAAAGTGCTATAATTTTGATGTATAGAAGTATTCCTACTGGTCCGACTTTACTGGTGTCATATTGTTCTTCAGTTTTCACTTATCTGTTATAAATAGAATATATGGATCGTTCTACTAGCTTCTTTATTTTTAAAATCGCCGAATTTCGTTGATATCCTCAGGTGCTGCAAAATCTGCTATAGTGTGCTTGGTGTGTCGACTTCCATTACGATTTGGGCGTCCTTTGCGGTCATCCTGCCTCTTTTTAGAGGTCTTTCGTCCTCCTCTCCGTCATGGGTCTTCATCCTCTATCCACCGGTCTTCATCATCCAATCCGTTGTGGGTCTAAATATTTTGTTCATAATCCTTTGTAATACAGCAGGAGCATTTGCCAAATCAAAAGTCATGCAGTATGAACCGTACATTACAGTTTTGCTATCGTTTAATGTGATCAACATTTCCGTAACAGTCATTTTAGCAACCTTTCATAAACTAGTAGCGAAACAATCCCCATACTCGTTAAGTAATTTAGAATGTTCAATTCAATTGAATACTGAATTAGTTTGTTTCTCAAGATCAAATAACGTAAAATTTGGTAATACAGCAATATCTGTTGCTTATCAAGTTTGAGATGGTAACTATATCTTCGAAATTCTGGTACAGGTATAACCTCTAGCAAGTATTCTATCTTTTTCGTAACAAACAGATTTAGCGGACACATTGGCAACATGAATACAGCAACAATTATTTATGTTAATAACAACACACGGTAAAATATGAAAATTATTATCTTACTTTCTATATCTTAAATCAACAAAAACATCTTAGATCTACAAAAATATCTTAGATCAACGAAAACATCTTAGATCTATAAAAATATCTTAGATCAACAAAAACACCCTTAACGTTTTCATTTTTAATTAGCCCTGCAAAATTCTGCGGAATGATAGTGGTTTCTTCTACACATAAATTAATTTTTTTAGATAAAGACTCGTTAATATGTGTAACGTTGACGTTATTTTAAAATAAAATATGTCATACTTGGTTGCATCTAACGATAACTGTAACCATATCATTATTTAAAAATGGCTAACCTACAATAACAGGGACATCCTGTATATTAACCGGTACGTCATCGGTAACAGTAGCTAAATCAACATTCAAAGTTGTCGTAACCTTTAAAAGTACTATAACAAAATATCCCGCATAACCACACAAAAGTACTATAATGTGGGCTCACCCTGTAGATGCCACTTGACTGAATCACGAATTGTAACTGTATCACAACCCGAGTCTACAAAGCCTCGTATATATTTACCGTTAATAACACAATCAATAAAATAGCATGCAGTAGACGCCTGATTATTAGATAAAATTAAAATTGGTTTCGACTCACCCTTATTTTGTCATCAGCTGGTCTTTTACTTACATTTATGCACAACGTCTTGCTTCGTGTCCTAGCAGATAGTATTTTGTGCATTCAGCGAGTGGTTTCGGACACTTTGACTGAAAATTACATTTATTTTTACATTTATCATACTTTTAAAACATCAGGTTTTGTATACGGTTTAGTACTTCGTGTATTCGAAAGTGAATAACCTAACTCCACTTTCAGGAACGGCTTTATCAAACCCTCTGTTTTTTTGAGTCGATACTTCAATGATACTTTCCTTACGTAGCATTGGCAGGTATCCTTCAAACAATGCCTCTGGTTTTTCGTAACGACCAGCGCGAGCAGAATTGTGGATGGTTACTTATGATTTCGTCTTAATATTCTCTCTATTACTGTTTCAAACTGTCTAATTCTAGCTTCATATGTAACACTTGCACTTTTTGACTGGAACAGGAATATAAGCCATGAGATGCGCTTTGTACTATATTTTCTCGCGATATACTTAACTATCGCTTCTTTTTACGACCCCCTTCGTTAAAGGGTGACCTATTGTCTCGTCTCGTCGGAATATAATTACGTTCAGATCGTACATCTACAGAGTCTAAAATCTTTGCTCATTGTTCTTAACACGATCAAAATACCAAGTTCTTAACACTATCTTAACACGAATCACTGAATAACTTAACTAATGGTATCCGTTTTAGTTACGTAACAACTTAAGTTTCTGCACGATCGTAAAGTATTTCACTTACGCCACGTACGTTTTTCTATAACAAAGGTAAGCAGTTAGTTCACCCCACACCTGAACTGTAAACTATGGTAATTAATTTTAAATGAAATAAATCGGATTTTCATATAGAATCGAATTTAATCGGTGTTAAGAATTATAATACATAAAATGAAGCGTATCGAATGAATGTCTATCTAAGAATACCGTGCTAATCACCAAATATTCTTATGTGTCCCAGTTCGACGTATCATTCTACGAAATATGAGTAGCACTCGTGAATCATGACAGGGTGGTCCTAGCCTAGCGATAAACGAAACATCCGAGTGGTTACATACATTCGGTATCTTTTTAAAATCTGATTTGGATAATATTATTCCATAGGTTTAGTTTGTATTTCTTGCCTGATACTGAGTTGAAACCATTATGTGACCCAGGTGTATGTATACATATAATACAAAGGAAACTAAAATTTAAAGTGACAACAAATTATATTGAAATATTAATTTCTAGTTTCACTCTCAAAGACCTGTCATCAAGGCTGGAAGAAAACAAGAGTTTGTATAGAAAATAAATGTTAAGTTGATGAGATAATGTTACTATTTTGTTGCTACTTTAACTTTGAGTTTTATTTGTTTGCATATTTTTAAACACGCAAAAAGAAGATTAAAAAATAAAATAACTACCTTTTTTTAATAATCTAGTATCAATGAATTAAAGATACATCTAAAAATATTCATTATATGAATAAAATATACATATGTAATAAAAACAAATAATATAATAAATATTGTACGAAGGTGAACTACAAATGCTTGAAAAACAACTTTGACTAATTTTCATCAGTCTTAATTTAGCAGTTATACATGAAATACTAAATAATATAATATTGTTCCCAATATATTTAAAAAAAGTAAGTAATTTTTTTTATAAATATAATACAATTAATCATGTGGGCTCGGGATCCCATTTTCGGAACCTACGTAATGACTTCTATAAGATGACATGAAAATCAGATACATCTGCATTATTTATAAAGTGATCTCAGCAAATCTATAGTGATCTGGAATCTGCACCAACAAACTGGTATATTACACTATATTGATCTTTTAGAACTAATCGAGATACGGCAGTATGAAAATTTAATTTTTTTCAAAAAAGTCCCCCGTTTCACCGAATAGTGACGCGATGTCATTCTGCACAAGATTCATTAGTACGTTCATGTATAATAGTAATAGTCGTGGCCAGTGAAATCAAGGTGGCATTATTATTAGTAAGGACAAAATGGGAATTTGACTCCAATTTGTATTAAATTTTTATTACAGAATCCAATGAATTTGAAATTATATTAAATGTTTAGGCAACCGTTTGAGATTATTTACAATTTCACAACTAACTAGTTGTTTAGTTGAACTTTTTAAAATTTTTTGAGGTTACAATTAAATAAACCATGTACTAGATTCACATACTTTGATTACTATACGGGGCAAGAGAGAGGTCCGACACGCCCAACATAGGGCGCGGCCATTTTGAACCCTATGACACAGTTTATAGCTAAAGAATCAGATCGCTCACTCTGCGTCGGCACTTTTGATCTCAATTTTCCGGTTTATACACCGCGCAACTCGGATAATACAATATATGACAACCGACTATAATAAAACAACAGTCTTCTGCGTATCCTGGATTTGTATCCCTGGAGTGGATGTTATTTTGGAACTTTCAACTGGTCCGAGTGAGCTAACTGATTCTTTAGCAATAAACTGTGACTCTAAAAATAATATTCACTGACACTGACAGCAGCAAGCAAAATATCAGGTGCGTTTTAATCATCCGCTTCTGCTTCCGGAATTGTCGGTTTAGTCGTTTTAACCTGTCAGATTAAAACAGGAAAACCGACAATTCTGAAGCAGTAGCGGATGATTAAAACGCACCTATTAAAAATATTGCGCCAAGATGTAGGCAACACGTAATAAGGGTTCAAAATGGCGGAGTTTTTTATCTCCTTTTAAAAGGCACTGCGCAGTGCGACCATTCTCCGTATAGTAAAAGAAAATCAAAGTATGTGACTAGATTTCAAGTTCATGGCGCATGCGTCTGTCATTAAGTCAGTTTTGCAAAAAGAAGAATTTAATTTTACTGTGTAGTAAGGTCCTACAGCCAATTATTTAAAATCAAAGGGGGTTGCATAAAGCTAATGAGACTTTATTCCCGACCACCCTTTCTTAATGGGAGGCACACGTGTCATATATAATTGAACTGAAAGAGAATGATTGCTGAAAGTTTTAGTTATTGATTTAGGAATAAAATATTGGTATTTTTAATGAAACAAATTTAAAATTTTGCTAATGACGACAACCACGTCTTTTTCCTAAACCCCTTAAAACTGGTGAGAGTTCAATGAATGGTCTGTTAATGAGGCCTACCCCATATTGAAACTCGTAGAGGGAGCAGTCGGGGAGTGAAGAGACTCCGCATCTACAACCTCTGATTCGGAGATAGACATACATAATTATCGTACATTCTGGTGGTTAGGTTAAATGTTAAATTTGTGACAAACTGAAATGTTACCAAATATTGTTGAAGACTATTTGTAAGAAATTTGATAAACAGTTTTCAGAAAAGCAAGCTCTCATAAGAGGTTTAGTTGTTAAATGAATTTTGAAGTTAAATTGAGATTATTGTTATTAATTAAATTGGCTCGTGAAGAAAGATTTTTATCCAAGAACAATAAGTATGCAAAAATTTCATTGAGATGTTTAATATCAGCTCTTTTGTTAATGAGCAATATGTGCCATTTCTAAGAAAAGTCTTTTGTCTAGGCGAGGTTCTTTTTCTAAAACTAATACCTTAGAAGTTAAAGGTATGGTTATTCGAAATTGCATGATTTGCTAATTCACAACTTTCTGGCTGCAGTCGCTCTTGTGGGATGTTATTATTATTATTATAATTTGATAAGAGCAGGGGCCATAAGACCCATAAGCCCATATTAACTGAATATAAAACAATATTACTAAAAACTAAATCAATAACAGGTACAACCGATGAATAAATAATAAAACAAATGAAATGTTAATTAAAAAATAGAAAATTATCAAGTTCGTTCTTGAAAACATTGACAGATGGAGCATTTACAACATTCTCCGGTAGAGAATTCCAAGTGTGGAATATAGTGTGGAATATAGTATAGATAGAGGGTAATGTGTGTGTATTAAAAGACAAAGACATTATAATAGATAAAGGAACTGATATGGTATTAGAGCATTGTTTTAAAAATAGAGAAGATATTTGATCTAGACCCGGAGAGGAATTGTTTTTTAATTTTAAAAGGTGACGTTTGACAATTTCAGGAGTAAAATTGAGCCGTTCTAAGGAAGAATGGATTCTTTCGGGTGAGATATCTGGTAACTGATCCTGGGAAGGTTCATTGGTGAAAACTTTTGTGAAGGTATTAGCTAAAAGTTCAGCCGTTTCGAAATTATTTTGGCAGGGACTTCCATCTTCTTTGTTTAGTAAAGGAATGGATACTTTTGATGACAGTGAAGATCTAATATATTTGTATAATTTTTTACAGTTTTGGCTGCATGCTATTGACTCTTCATATTCTTCTCGGGCCTCATTTATAAATTTCTTTAGGTCCTTGGAAAAATTTTTGTGATATTCTAGATCGACAATACTATTTGACCGCTTATATTTACGCCATAATTTACTTTTATGTCTAATCAAGGATATTAGTTCTCCGTTGATCCACGGTTTTAATTTATTTTTATAAAACATTCTTTTTAGAGTATTGCATTTTATGAGTAGCAATAAAAATTGCGAACTTATTCCATACTTCTTCCGGATCTCCCGAGTCCCCCAATGTTTCTATCCAGTCGATGGTAGATAAATGACGATTTAAGTTATCGAAATCGATGATTTCATAAGATGAAGTATGATCTTTGTGAGATGGGTTCTCTATGTTAAACTGTATACGACTTATGATAACTGCATGATCCGATATTCCTATCGGAGATTGAATGATAGGGTCAGTTAATAATTGTTTATCATTTACAAATAACAAATCTAGCGTGAAAGGAATATTGTTGACTCGGAATCGTGTTGGATCTGTTATAAGTTGTTGTAAATTAGTTATGCGGTCTTTTAATGGTCTTGTAATTTGACCTATGTATAATGAGTTACAATCCACACAAGGGATACTGTAGACTACATCAGTCCAAGATAATATTGGTGTTTTGTCCTTAATTTTTGAGAATACACTCTTAACGATGAGAACAGTTTTAGTTGCAAATTTTAAATTAGATGTTGAATAAAACAAGTATATGAGCCTGGGTGTGATATATCTGATGTATGGTAGAATGACACCGGATACCAACATCACATTTGTCACTCTACCTTGCTACGCGTCGATTGCTTTAAAAATATTTTTATTTTAAAAATCTATATCTTTTTACTAAGAAGGTCAAAAAATTCAGCGTTCCTTTAGAAAATTTTATAACTTCTTGATTTACATTACATTAGTTTTTAAAAAATATGGTAAGAATAGTTTTTGAGATATCTGGAAATAAATGCATTACTTGTGTACGTTTAATTTTTTGTATTTACATAAAAGACACTTTCATTAACCTTATATTTCAATTTTATTGAATTCTTAAGAAAAGCCGTTTTACGAGTGAACTACCTTAAAAACAATCTTGACAATCCTTTTCATTTGAGAAATCTCTAATATTCTCTCCCACTGATAATTATTATTAATTTTGATTTTTAAATTTATATTTGAATATATAAATATCATTAGGCTCAATATTTCGAAAATCGAATGTGACTCTTTAATTTTTTGGAGAAAAGTTCCTTCTCGCTCACCTAGTATGAATTCGATACGCATTTTGCGCTATGAGATAAATACATTTTCATTTTTCCATCTTAAACGACTTTATTTTAAATATATACATCATGTATTTTTATCTCCGATTATAATCTTTATATTATTTTTTTACAGATGCTAATAACATCATCCATATTTATTGATTTTTTCATTTTGTTGGTGACAGCTGTTTATGTCTTGCACATCTACATATCTAACAAGTACAAATACTGGAAAAAACGTGGCGTTTATTTCCCAAAACCTAAACCATTCGTTGGAAATTTTCTCGATGTAATCCTACTGAAAAAACATTCATCAGAATGGATAAAAGACTTATACGATCAGGTAAATTTATTTGGAATTTTAAATAGAAAAGAATGAAAATCTTAAGAGTAATACACCTTAATTTGTAAATGAACGCTGTATCTATATTTTTTAAATGATTTAATTGATAGCTAGTTTGGTTTTTCCGCATATCTTATTTGGATTAGAAACACCAGACACGAGTATTCTGCTTCTACCTGATGACCATTTTTTATTTCAGATAGATAAGGATTTCTTTGGAGTTTACGTTTTTGATGATGCCTATTTTGTTGCAAAAGACCCGAATTTAATTAAAAACATTTTAGTAAAAAATTTTAGTCATTTTGTTAACAGGAATATCGCATCTCCCGAACATTCTCCTTGCATCGCTCACATGCTTTTCTTTCAAAAAGGTTTACCTTGGAAGACAGGTCGATCTAAAATAACAGTAGCATTGACTTCTGGAAAAATGAAGTCAATGTTTCCGCTTTTACTGGAATCTGCGGAAAATTTAGTAAATTTCTTGGAAAAGAATAATCAAGATGTCTGGGAGGCTAAAGAATTGTTTGCCAAATATGCAACAGATGTAATTTCCAAATGCTTTTTTGGTAAGTTAAATTTCAACTAACATAACATTTGCACATATGTAGCTATAATTCAGCCAACCAGCAGTTGTCTTTACTGATCTTTTATTAGTGAAGTTAACCTTAACGGTTTTAGTTTCGTTAAGCTTAATGCGCCAGTTTTCTAGTCAATTCTTCTAGCATTTTAGCAAACGTGGCTTCTCTATAAAAAAGTAGTTTTATGTGCTGAAAATACAACCAACATTCCTCTAAAATTTGAAAGCCAACCTCGTCTTTAAATTAACTTAAAAGTTTATTAATAACGCTATCCATCTCACTCGGCAAAACGGCAAGCAGTCAATATTTTTTAATGTCATAACCGTACTACCCATGCCACTTATGAAACTTTGGAGAGACATATAAAAGGACCGACGATATAAACTAATATTATTTCTCACTAGTTACTTCCTGAACATTTATTAAGAAACGTTAAACATAACTATTTAACCCGAGGCAGAGAAGACTTTTATGTTTCTACAGTTACATCGACTACGGTGGTGTAGGTGTCTACGGCGCGGCATTCATTTGTCAGCCAGTTTTCTGGTAAAACGAGACACGGTTTCAGATTCTACGGAAGACCATGTTTGCATGGTTTTCTATAGGATTTGATGGATGCCATATTAGCAGAAATTTAATTTCTGTTGATATGACATTCAGCTTATTAAAATAAAAATCACCATGCGCTATCGTTTTCGATGATGGTGGGTGGGATTTCGCGGGGTTTCCTCACCTATAAGTCAAATGGCACCATCAATCATCTTTAAGTCGCCCCGGAGCGCCACGGCAAATAATAATAATAATAGCCGCCCCTTTCTGTTCGACAATAGACTTATTCAATACAATAATTTGCCTCATAATGAGAACAATTGCAGACATCGTTTTTGAAAGCAATATACCAGTATTTTTCTGCTCAATCTTGAGAAATGTACCTAAATAGTATTAAATCTTGAACGATGGTGCGGAACTCTTCATGCGTGAGTCCGACTTGCACTTGGCTGGTTTTCAAGCACTATTTAAAATACACATTAAAAGCGACCACACAATATTCATCAAATTATTATTTTACAGGTATTAATTCCCATAGTTTTGAAAACTTCGATTCAAAGTTTACTATTTTAAGGAGAAAAGTATTCGGATTTTCCTTCAGAAACATATTCGCTCAAACCATATATTTCTTTAAACCAAGTTGGGTGCAACGATTCAAGATTGAATTCGTAGACAAAGAAGTTATGGAATACTTCTCGGAAGTGTTTATGGCATCATTGAAAGCTCGTGAAACAAAAAACAGCAGATACAGCGATCTAATTGACATCATGAATGAACTAAAGAAAACTAAGGAGGTTCGAGTCGATGGGACCGATGACGTCATCTTCTGCGGAGCGGCCTTGCAATTTTTCTTCGCTGGCTTTGAAACTACCAGCTCTGCAATAGCTTTTACTCTTTATGAATTCGCGGTCAATGTCGATATACAAAAAGCAGCGAGAGAAGAAGTCCGAACCGTCATCGAAAAATATGAAGGTATTTCGAATGAGGCGGTTAATGATCTTCCTTATCTTGATATGTGTCTAAATGGTGAGTAAGTACGGATGTTTTAGGAATTGGTTCACAATAAATAACAATAACTGTCATAATTCAGGTCGGATCACGATGAACGACATTTTAAAAGTGTTTCAACATTAGACAAGGAAAGAGAGAGGACGTGTAACAAGTATATCAAGCACATGTAGTATTCTGTGCTGATTATCGGTTGGCCGCCATTACTTTGGCTTGGCATTACGGCGACACCAGGGCTTTCTACTCATGTTTATTTGTGATTTTTTAAATTAACAGGTAAATAATAAACATCAATCATTTATACTTTATATATTTTCTTATAATTTTCCTATTATTTGGTTATTATACAGTTTGGTATTTATATATTGTACATGTCTCACTTCAGAGTAATGAATGTTATCCGCCAAGTTTGTTTAATTAGCATCGAAAATAAACATGAATTTCAAACTGTAAATCAAAAAAACCGCAGAATCCAAGGCTACAAAGAGACTGCTACATCCAAATCCAAATCAAGGGTCAACCAGTACCACCAAGCTCTCAGAGGGCATGAAGCATATCGCCAAGGGCGCTGGACATAAAGTTGGGTCTATTTTGAGTCTGTGGGAGCCAAATCCACCGCATGAAGAAGATGAAGTCAAATGCGAAAAAGGGACCAAAGAATGTATGTGGAATGGACCAAGGTTCAAAAAAAGATGCCATTTCTACTAGTCAGTTAATGGGGACCTACCTGTAGCAATCAAGTACAGCAGCCGTGTACAGCAGACATGTACAGTAGCAAGCCAAAGAAGCAGTCCAAAGGAGCCAAAGCAAGAGTCTATTGGAAAATGGATAGATTATCGCAGCGGAAAGAACCCGTAACCTCAGCCAAAAGGATTACTAGGTTCAGCAGCCCAAGGACCAAACCATATCGGCAAGGAACCAATCCAGGAAGGTCCAGGATCAGGGGATAATGAGAAGTGACAGCCAGAGAGCAAATGATAGTTACGGCCCCACCAAGAAGACCAAAGAAGACACAACTTGTGCAGTAAAGCTAGCATAAGGTTACCATATATATTGTAGATAATTTTATAATTTTTGTAAATTATTTACATTAAGGGTTTTAAAAAGAATTGAACAACTAATTTATTTTTTATTTTCGGTCGGGGGAATAATGTAATAATTGGCATTATTATTTAAGAAATATAAAAGAATTTACCAAAAATTAAAAAAAATATATTTTTAATGTTTTAAATTAAAAATTCAAAAGGATACACGTATTGCAATATCGTCAACAATTAAGTTATTAATCTAGTCAATGGCTTACATTGAACTAGAGAATTCAAGGTAGAGCGTTGACATTTTTAAAAAAAACAAAATTTCCGGTTTATATAGGGAGACTAGACAGAAAGAAAAGACTGTCGAGTAAGGACTACAGTACAAAACTCTTGTTTCGGGACGCTATGTCCCGAAACAAAGTAATGTGTACAGTAAAGTTTTGTGCAACGATTGTATAATATAGGTAAATATCTTTAACTTAATTTTAAAGTGTTTTGTTTGATAATATAGTAGACTCCCAATTATCCGAGCTAATGTGAGCTGTACCCTACATCGGATAATTGGCGGTTCGGATAATCCGAATTTTTAATTTTTTTATGCATATTTTTTTTAATACTCTAAGAATAAATGCCAATACCTACTTTAAAATATTTTATTAATAATTTTTACAAACAAATGTATGTACATACCTATGTATATAAAAGTAATAAAATAAAAATATATAATATGTACTGTAATATAATAAAAACAAATTATTTTTCTACTACATTTAAATATTATTTATTAATAAGAGTTTGTTTTTTTACGAGTTTTTCTTTCTTGCTGCAATATTTCTCAATCTTTTTAAAAGCAAAACATCTGATGGCGTGGACTCGGGTTGCTGCTCCACATACTGCAAGGCTCTTTCTAACGCAGAAAAACCGTCCTGATTTCTTGCTCTTCATCTTTGTTTTCAAGTAGGTCTTCTTCTTGAGTTTGTTTAAATGCAGCTATTTCTTCTATGGAAAGCTCTTGGCCATGGTCATCAGAGGAAATCCATTGATTAACATCTTGTTCTGTAACATCTTCACATAATTTTATTTGTTTCATTAAATCAAATAAGGTTATCTTATTCTTACAGTCGCTGTCATCTTGCGCACACCTTAATCTTACAGTTAGTTGATTTAGAGGCAAATCGTCTTCTGTGTCATCATCCTGGATTAAGATATTGTTCCAGGTTTTTTGTATTGTGGATGCTTGTAAGTTCTAAGCTTGACTCACCTAGTAGGTAATATCTTTTGAGATAATCTGCCGCATAGTCGCGATAAGTTCATTATTTTATGTTATCTGTAACACATGTTCAAAAAACAAACGTTTGTACTTTTTCTTTAAATTTTTTAGGACATCTTGGTTCATAGGTTGAAGAATGCTGGTGACGTTGGGCAGTTAAAACTTAATAGTAATATCCCCTACCCGAAGATCTTCTCCAGAATGTGACGGAGCATTATCCATAAGTGAAATTGCCTTTTTGGGGAGTTTGTTTTTGTTCAAAAAATTCGTCACTAATGGAACAAACTGCCCTTTAAACCATGCACTAAATAACTTTGTATCCATTCATGCACTTTTTTAGTTTGTGTAATAAACTGGAAGGGTATTTGGAGAAATGTTTTTTATGGCTCTAGGACGGGCTGATGTTCCTATAACCATAAGTGGCATCTTATGTGTACCTGATGCATTCGCACATGCCATTACAGTAAGCGTTTCTTTACTGCGTTTATAACCTAAGGCTGCCTTTTCCTTTCTCGATACTAATGACTTTGACGGAAGCAATTTGTAGTTTAGGCCAGTTTTGTCGCAATTATAAAACTTGTTCCAATGTGAAACCCTGACTTTCAATTAGCACTTTAAAAGTTTGCTTAAAATGTGTAGCAGAATTTGTATCTGCAGAAAGTTTTTCTTCACATAAGGCTAACTGGCGCACACCGTATCTTTTCTTCCAACTGGTAAGCCAACCATCACTGGTCGTAAAATGGTCAAAATCGGAATATTTTCTGCTTATTATTAGGGTTTTTTGTTGTAAAATTGATCCAGTAACCAGAACACCTTTTGCTCTTTGCTGCGTAAACCACGTAAACAACACTTTGTTTATTTTTTCATATTCTGCTCGCTGCATTGATTTTCTCTTAAAAGGGGTAGACACTTGCTTGTTGCGCCACTGTTCAATATCCTTACGGTTTCTTTTCCAATCACCCATTGTAATCTTGCCTACTCCAAACTCTCTGGCAATTACTCCCAGGGCGTTACCTGCATCCAATCTTTGTATTGCTTTTAACTTCTCCTCGATTGTTATAACAACTCTTTTTCTTTTATTTTTCCCATCTTACGACTGTGATTCACTGTAATTAAATATGTATGTACCTATGTAACTTTGTAACTTATAAAAACTTAGAAATATTAATATTAACTAATTTAATTCACCTGTGCGGTCTAGAAACATCGCGAGATGCTTCGTGAAAAAATTATACATAAAATGAGACAATTTAAAACAAAATGTGTATTTTCAAACTACACTTCGAATAAAACAATTTTCAAACCCCAACTTAGATATTATTAGGCAGTAATTTTATATTCAACTGTTTGGCGATGTTGCAAACTCAAGGACCGTATGTGTTAGCAATTGAAAATTTCATAAATTAATTTGTTTTATGTTTTGTGGAAGGACATAGTGACATAATTTTAAAAGTTAGGTAAAAATAAACAAAAAATCGAATTTTATTATAATCTAAATGAAAATAACGAATGAACTATAATTTTACAAATGTAATTTCAGTTAAAACATTAGAAAAAGTAAGTTACTTCAATATACTAGTGCTAAAACTTCGAAATTATCGCCTCAGAATAGTAGGATGAAATCCCATTAGCTCTAGAAAAATCAAGAAACTCGATATTAACATGACTCGAAAATAACGAGTTGTTTGTGTTCTGGACTGCAATTCGTATGCTTCTGATAGTGTTGTAGGTACTGCAAGTTTTTTTGATTATCCAGCCAGATGGATGAGGAAGCTGCTTCTAAGCCTGGTGGCGCACCTTGCAGCATGCGCGCTTGCCAATTAACTCGCGGGAAGATGAGAAAAGAAGGAATATGATTTCCGCAAGTATTAACTGCACAACAAACAGGAGTTGACCTTTTTCGCCAGATGATACTTTTCTCCAATGATTCTTCCAGGTTTATGTACAGTTGTTACCCCTGTCCTATCGATATTCTAAATCTTTTCTGGTGGAAATCTGTAGTTCTCAAATATTGCTTGCATGGTAGATTCAGGAGCTCTGAGAGATAGTTGATTGTTCCTGTCCATAACACTATTTTCCCAATCTCTACCCGCCATATTTTTCAAATACCAAAATGGAGGAGACTTTTTATTATTGGCTTTGGCACACTCATAAGCAAGTTTGCGTAGTTTTTTAAGAGGCAGCCGATAGTTTATTCGGCTAGCCTGGATAAAATATTCCGAAAACTGCAGTTCCTCTCGACTTGTGAATACCTGAGCTTTTCGAAAGCTGGGTAAGTTTTCTTTGACACTTCTTATAATTCTTTTTAAAGTCATTACATTTATATTAAATTGCTTGGCTGTGCCTTTGAAGGACCCTCCATTTCTTACTGGCGCTACAGCTGCAGCTATAGTTTCAGGATCATACTGTGTTCTCTATTTAGTTCCAGCTTTTGCCTTGTATTTTCTTGGCATCTGAAATAGAAATAAAAATTTAAAATCACATAAATTAATAAAGGGTAAAATACCTTAAACAAAAAAGACACGTATGAAAATGAAACAAACCTTCAGATTATTATTTTACATTAAACGTGACATTTTTAAATACAACCAAATTTTGTTTATATAAAGAGGAGACAAAAAGAAAGGATCACTTGGGGTAAACACTCAGTCGGGTTCGGACTAAGGTCCAGAACGTTCGCCCCTTGGGCGAAACCCTGGTTTTGTATTGTAAAGTAAAGTGTAGAGTATAGTTTTTGTGTACGATGTGAATTATGGGTAAATATTTTAACTTAATTTTAAAGTGTTTTTTTTTGTTTAATATTAATTGATTGATTGATTTACATTTAAATGCCAATTTTACATTTTCGTCCCGAATTATATTTATCTCATGCATATCTTTATTACTATTAGTTATAGTGCTTTATTCCCTAAATGGAATTTTATTCATTTTTTTCTGAAGACTATTTGTCAAGTTTTATATTTATTGTTAATATACATTTGTTAATGTTTTAATACTTATTATTAATCTCTCCTCCCTTTCCAAACCAGCAAAATACTCCGAGCATTTGAGAAGCCTCGGCGTTTCTATTCCCTTAGGACTAAAAGAGTCTAAAACTAGTTGCCAAGAACCGCTCGACATATGCTATTAAGGGATGTTTTTTGTATTTTATTTATTTTTCTTTATTATTTTCTTTTGCCACTGGCGAATGGATGTTCCTTCAGGACTCCAGGACCCTAGGGCTGGTGACAGGTGCTGCCTTTATCCCTTAATAGTATAATGACAACAGTAGCTAAAGACCTATCAGTAGTTGCAAATGGTCCTTAGGTTTCCTGGTTGTTACAGGATCAACTCTCCCGAGCACACGTTGATATGTTGGAATATTTCAACGTCAAACAAATGTAGAAAGCAACCTATATAAGTGTTCCCAAAGGAGCAGGCATCACTATGTGGATACGCAAAGACAGCGGCTATTTATTGCATGATAAAGAGTATATATAGTACTTACCGTAAAAGGTGTAAAGTGGGGACCACAAAACAATAAACTGAGCGTCAACAAATTTTGTTTTCGTTCGCGTTAGCAATTTCGTGAATGATCACATGCAAACTGGGTATAAGTAATTCGGAGTGAGTGAAACCACAAATGACGGAGCCCGATGGGGCCGACCATACCAAAAACACTGATAATCGTAGCGAAAGCACCAAGATAGCTTACTTTAAAAGACTTTGTGGAAAAGCTCATAAACTTAAAGTTAATGTGAGTGTAAGCAAAGACAATAGGACACTCAAAACCGTGAGTAATTTTTCTTAAAGTTGGATACATGTTATAATAGTCTAAGCGTATCTCACTTCTTAAAGATCTTTGGTGAATTTTTTTGGAACTATGTACTTTTGGTGCCATATCTTCTTTTGTTTTTATATTGGATTTGAGCGAAGTTGAAACACTTATAATAATGTCATTCATCGTTAGTCGGATTTAGTTTTATTAAATCTGTATCTTTCTTATTTTTAAGTTTCTTAAAAAAGTAATTTGAAAAATATTAATTCAGAAACAAAAAGTAAGGTTAACATTTAATTTTCGCTTTCAGAAACTTTAAGAAAGTACCCAGTACTTCCGTTTCTTGAACGAAATTGTACGGAAGATTTCCCAGTACCCAACAGCGATGTCGTCATCGAAAAAGGCACGGCCGTTTTGATTCCGACGTTAGGACTTCATTTGGACAAAAATTTGTTTCCAGATCCGCACAAGTACGACCCTGAAAGATTTAGAAATAAGATTAATACTACCAACGGTTTGAGTTATATACCGTTTGGAGATGGACCAAGAAATTGTTTAGGTAAGTTTTGTGTAATCCACACTATCGATAATTTAAAAAAAAAACAGTATTTAGTGGTTACTGGTCAATACCGGCGTTTCAAACTAGTGCCGCGTATTACTTAATGAACTGTAATTTGAGACATGCCATTTAATTTTCTGATATGTGCTGGTTCCTAGAAGATGTGGCTGTATTTGAAATTCATATCTTGCTTAACCATGGAGTTAGAAGGTAGGGTGACGCTATAAGAATATTTTTCAAACATTCAAAACGGTATCGTTGGGCGTGGCTCATGTAGACTCAATATGGCCGATCCGCTAGAACCGGACTATTGGGAATGCAACTCAAACCTACATTTTTCTTTTTTTTTAAGAAATGTAAGTTATATTTATTAATTCTTATAAAAGGGATGATTTGGGTTATAATAACCGATTTTCAGTTATTTCACCTACTTACAAAATAGGTTTCATGTATTTGTGTTACTTAGAATTTCATTTGATATATCATGGTTTAAAGTATCTTTTTTTCAACATAACAAACTGATCTAACGTAAAATTATCAATAATTTGTTGGCATTTTATTTCATTACAACGTAAGAAAATCAGTGCTATCTCTTCGCAGTTTGTTGTAGTATAAGGAATATTTTAAAATATGAAAGGAGAAAGCACGTAGTCTCCTACACTATTAAAACAATGTAACTTATTTTTTTATTTGATTGTAACCAATAAATGAATTCTTTAAATTATCACAATACTGTATAATATATAATCTTTATTTCAGGTGAAAGATTTGGAAGAATGGCTGCAAAATTGGCTTTGGTTAGCATTATTAATAATTTTGAAGTCACCAAATGTTCGACAACTCCCATTCCGATTATAATTGAGCCTAAATGTTTGTTGATAGAATCTAAAGGAGGTCTTCCACTTCGATTCACAAGGCTGCATTAGTGATATTTAGAAATAAAGCGATTTAAATATGTCAAAATAATTATAACACTAACGCCCGTATGCACTGTACACGTTTAATCCAGATCAAGGGTTTAAACGTGTACGGTACATACGGTCGTTAATGATTTAATTTAGGGTTTAAAAAATGTAACTGATATAATTATGAAATAAATTTTTCTATTAAAATATTCCTACATTTAGTGAAGTAAATATTATTTTGAATTTAACAATATTATATTATTTAATAAGTGTATAATGTTGACCATATTACACGAGTGTTGTAAATATTCGAGTGTAGTATGGTCCATTATACACGAATTGAATACTATACTTTATCTACAACTGAATACGGGGGCTCAACGAAAAGGGGATTTTTAGAAAACATTCTTTGAAGTTGTTATAAATAGAATTGACAAGATTGTTCACAATTAAAAGACCTTTTAAATGAGGAGTATTTAAGCAACCGTGTAAAATAAAACGCCAATTTATACAGGAACTCGTTTAAAGTTATTTATTGATGTAATTAATAGTAACATTACAATTTGAAATATTAATAGCTCCGGTAATATCATTGAGATTATTGTTTTTTAAAGAAAAATTAGTGTTGCTATTGATGAGTACAGAATCATGACGATCACTGTCAGAAGATGATGGATTATTAAGACCAACACAATTTTCTTTATTGATTTGACTTAAAATTGCTTGAGCTGTTTCTATTTTGTTCTTTTTTGAATTGGCGATGTACCCTTCTGCTGTGGAGGCAGATTTCCAGCCTCCATGACGTTTTAATATTGTCATTGAAGCTCCAGAATCAGCAGCCAATGTTGCAGATGAACGCCTGAGGCAATGGCCAATATATCTCTCAGGGTTTGGTAATTGTAAAAACGTAGCAATTTGCTTTCCCATTGCGCTAAACTTGTTTATTCCTATCACTTGTTTTGTACACTTTCCTTTTTGGAAATTGAGAAAAAATCTGGTGGTGCATTTTCGGGCTAAGGTCTATATATTTTTTAACGATTTTGAAAAAATTATCCACAATTGTGAAATTCCTTGGGACTTTGGTTTTTGTGTGTGGCACGTTTACTTGAAAACATCCCTCAAAACATCTTAAATCCCCAATTTTCATATTCTTTAATTCACAGGATCGGCAAGCACCCATGACCTCCATAATCAAGGCAACCTTAAAAAAATGTGTAAATTAAGTTAAAGAATTTTGATTTTTGATTCGAGTTTTTACCTTTGTTCCAAAATATTTAAAATCTGGGGCTTCCTTTATAAACCTCTCAATTTGTTCACCAGTCAGAGCTTCAGATTTCTTAGGTTCGTAATTTTCGGATCGTCTTTTCAACAAAGCACGTAATCTCGGATATTTATCAATGTCGACATTGTGCTTGATGTTTAACATGCTTTTTAGCATGGAATAGTTTGTCCATAAAGTAGACGATTTGTATTTACTAGAAATTTCCATAAAATATACAAGCACAGTATCTTCGGAAAAAGAGGATACATTTTTTGTTTGTTTCCACGACATAAATTTGTTGTATGCAATCTCATAATTTTTCCTCGATATTTCAGGTAATAATTCCAACGATGCCACTTTAGCAGCGTCGCGGATTTCAGGAGGTGTTAGTTCCATGTAATCATCGTCTTCCATTTTTTTAATTGATAAACACTTAAAACGGGCTTAATATTTTAAGTTTAATTTCAAAAAAGAATCGGGAACAACGAATAACTGTCAACATGCTGTCAACTAACTTGTCAAACGCATACTAGATCTAATGATTTTTAATTCTAGTGGGGTATAATTGACAAAAATGATATATGGATTGCTTTATGTTGCCTTACATACGCATATAATACATCCATATAATGACAGTTGTAGATAAAATATTAATTGGTGTTATAGTATTTGCAACTTGAAAAAACGTAAGATTTACAACTTTTTAAGCTAGAATGTAAAACTAGAATGAAGATATGTAATAATGCTTGGCATTCTATATTATACTCTTCACAGTTTAACAAACTCCTTTAACCCCAAATTCTGAAAATTTGTTGACATATTTGCCAAATGTATATTTTTTTACATTGTCGATCAATAAATGAGTGTGTTCGTTCTTAATCTAATTCACATAAATTATTTGACGTTTCTAGAAGTTAGTTATATTTTTTTCAAAACCACCTTGATAAAACGGTGTCTAATAATATCAGGCGGCTTTGGAAAAATAACACAGTTGAGTATAAGAGTATCGGATCGTTTTTTATTTAAAGTAAACCAGAAAATACACCCATAAACATTTATAAAAAACGAATATACATTAACAAACAACTCCAACAATCTTACAATTACATGTTTTTGATGTAGATTCATAAAAAAATATCTCCCCAAACCCTTAATAAATAATTAGTATTCTATTTAACACTTTGACACTTTGAATCATCAAATATTGCTTGCATTTTACATTATGTATTAAAACCTACATTTAATACTACTGCCATTAATTTAATGAACTCATTTCTTTCAGACAGAGAACAAAAGGTAAAAATCGAAAATGATTATTTGAAGAGTTTGTAAGTGTTGCAGGATGTACCACAGGGAAGTATTTTAGGCCCTCTGCTATACACCATGTACACTTCTACTTTCCATACCTATCTGTCTCACTGTAATTACCAATGATACACAATTTTATTATTCGTTCGAGACGCCCATTAAAAATGAACGCAAAAAAATATTGCGCCATTTTGTTTGGATACAGAAAACATAGGTTGCTGGATATAGAACAACTACAGATTAATATAGGTACAGATATTCTTGCTTTTAGTAATAATTGTAAAAACTTATGACTACTTTTTGACTCTAAACTTCATTTTGATGAACATTAGGGTGATGCTTAAAAGACCCAAAAATATTTTTTGTTTCTTTTCTCTTGGGTCACCCTCCCATTTTATTCTACTTAATAAGAGAAACTTAAATTAATTTTTTGAGATTTTTTGAGAAAAATTTAAAGGTCGCTACTATAGATTTAAAAAATCTAACATTTTCCCAAAAAGTGATTATTTAAAAAATTTTGTATTTATTATTAAATTACACAAAAAATACAGATTTTTACAAAATTTCTTTAATTGTCACAATTTTTAAAAAACTTATTACATAATTGATATAAGCTTATATTAGTTGTTTAGAGTCCTCGAAAATATTTTGATGCACAATTAACACGTAAAAAACTCATAATGCAGACATCAAAGTTGCTTTTTTGTAGTTCGGGAAATTTTGTCTGAAGGACTTCACAAGAAGCAAAATATACTGCTTCTGGTCTTCATCTAGGGTCAGTATTTTATTGTACTCTTGGATTAAGGACACCCCTCTCTCTGCTGTATCATTGACTATCTTAAATTTTGTTACTATCTCCTTACTTTGAATATATTCCTTGTCTTTGATCCAGTCTTCAACTTTTTTCTTGAGGAAATCGGAGCTTAATCCGGTAATAGAAAAGAATCGTTTGGTGTTACTAGTGACAAAATCGTCTAGATTTTTATTAACACTGTTTTTAATGTCTACATTAATTCTTTTCGGGCAAAAATGAGCTCCTTCTTTCTTTAGAGCTTCCACCATTTTCTTCTTAGTTTCATTTCCCACTTTGTCGTCAAAAAATGATAAGGCGATAAGTTCCTCTGAGACATACCATAAATGGCCACATACTTTATTTATTGCTTTTATAGCTATGACAGGGTTTACATCCTCATACTTCTTTAAATCTTTGAGGAGTTCTAAGTCGTTTCTTGGGGCTGAACAAGCGGATGGAGCTTGGAACCAATACTTAATGTAGATTAAGACTGTAAAAATACAAATTTCTCGCAAACCTTTTTCCTCATGTTTTATCAATCTGAATTGTTCTCGAAACAAGAATATTTTCAGTGAGTAGATAGACTTTGCCATCCAACGTGCTCGGTGAAGACCTGCAGGCTTTTTAAATGACACGCCATTTTCTAGTTCTCCTCCCAAAAATACAATGCTTAGTTGTAAGAGTTCCTTGTAATCATCTCTGGGCTGATATTCTGTTAATTGTTTCTTAGCAAAATTGATTATTTGATCTTTCACATCTTGGAGCTTTTCAATAGATTCTTCATCAGTTTCTAACGTCGTATACTCTTCTTTATTGATTAATTGCCAGTTTTTCTAAAATCTTTTGAATAATACATTATCTGGTCCAGACGAAGGCCTAATTTCATTTTGAACAACTGATTCCAGCATAATTTTCATAATGTGATGCCTACATGCTAGCCAGAGCATTTCCTTATCCATTTTCTGCTCAAGTAGATTACAAGCCTCTTTTCAAGGCTCGGTATTAGATGCGGTTATGTCGAAACTCATACTCTTTACTTTATTGAGTAAACCCCATGAAAAGAGGGATTCATAAACTGCTGATGCAATTTTTTTACCTTCACCAGACTCAAGTTTTGGAATGCAGAGAAGCTGATCCACCCCTTTACCGGAACTAAAACTGGAAGTAGGTCAACAACTTTATGGCCTGTGATATCTTCTAACATCTTTCCGTCCCAGTGCACAATTAAAGGAACATCAGTGTCAAAAACTTTTTTTATATTTTCATCTATTTTTTGTCTACACTCAAGTCGCTGACGGCGTATGGAAGAAAAGTTTAAATTATATTTAGCAGGATTACAGCCAAGGCGATTCAAAGTGGATGTGAGAACAAAAGCTGCTTTGCGATCGCTTATTTTTGCAACATTCAGGCTCGTAGTTAGTTTTTCATTAAGTAGTTTTTTTCTACCTCTTTTCTTCACACCATCATTTTGTTTTTCACCTGCTGATGACGTTGAAGGGCCATAAAAATCATTGTCTTCGCCATGAAGGGATTCATCGTCGGATGATGAGCTAATATTTAAACGATATGGTATAGAAATTTGTGACTTCCTCATACTAATATTAAGGGTTTGTTTTGGTTCAATCAAAACCGCTGATTCCAGTTCTCAAACACAGTGGACGAATTATTTTTTCAAGAACACGTCGCGAGTTTATAACAACCTCTTAGCTGATCGAGTGTTACTTTGATACGTGAAGTGGCTACAATGTTGCCAAGTTGTAATAATTTTACGAAACTACTCCTCAACTGCTTTAAAATATTTTTATTTTAAAAATCTATATCTTTTTACTAAGACGGTCAATAAATTTAGCGATTATCTATAAAATTTGATAACTTCTTGATTTATTTAACATTAGTTTTTAAAAAATATGGTCAGAACCGTTTTCGAGATATCTTGAAATAAATGCATTGCTTGTGTACATGATAGGCTTCAAGAGTGTTAATTATGCACATTTTGATTGTTAATATCTCGTTTCACAGACGGTCAAAAATCTAATTTTTTTTGGTTACGTAAACGACACTTTCATAAACCTTATATTTAAATTTTATTGAATTCTTAAGAAAAGCCGTTTTACGAGTGAACTACCTTAAGTTCTTCTTGTCTAACAAAAATGAATTTTTCGTATTTCACGGCGTTTGGATCAAACGGAAATAGGCCACAACGTTTGAATCCATTTTTGATGGTTTCTGTAGATAATTGATCATGTGCTGCTTTAAAAAATGGAGCGAACTTTACTTTTGTGATGTATTTTCCGGTTTTTTGTTTATATTTTTTAACAACTTTTCTCCACTCAGTTTTCATTGGTTTAAATATTGCCACATCACATGGTTGTAAAATGTGGGTGGCATTTGGATATAGGCAGTACAAAATAATTGGCTTCTCAGAACAAAAATTGGATAGAGCCAAATTTAGATGAGACAGATGTCCATCAATAAATAAAATTATTGGAAAGGTAACATTTTTCTCTAAAAGCCATGGATAAAATCAATTTGCAATATACTTAAAAAAGACATCGGATGTCATCCAGCTAAAGTCAGAACGTCCAGTAAAATAGTCATCCGGGAAAGAGTCTGTAATATCTCTAGGAATTATTTTATATGGCAGCACTATCATTAGTGAAACTACTTGAGCTGATGCTGAATAATTGCACAAAACTGTAATTAATTGCTTTTCAGGTCCCGAGGATATTTCATAAAAGTTCCTGTAAGATTTAGGACCTAACAGTTTCCCAGATTTTGGACAAAGCTGAATCCCCATTTTTTACTCGGTCTGCTTTTGTTAAATGGGATTTTCTGGATGAATGGAAAATCCAACCTTAGCTTTTGATATTATCCAGTCTGCAATTTTCTTTTCAATTTCGGCGCTAAGCACAGTTGGTGGGCCCATTTTTCGGGCAATAGGGGTAAGCCCTCTAACTTTTTTGCTTTTGGTATCCCAAATTCTCTCGCTGCATTATTAAGCTTGTGTGTTTGAAGCTTTATTGCCTGAACTGCTTTAACAAGGTTTTCTTAGCTGTACTTAAAGCGACTGGAAAAATTTTCCAGGCATACCTAGGTTTATGTTTTTTCTTTTTAAGTATCTCTGATATAAGAGAAAGTGGCGTCCATTGAATGTACCCAGTAAAGAAACCTTTAGTTTACCTAATAGAAAACCATTAAAATGACGTTTCTTCACTGGACCTACTAAAGATTTACAAGTATAACGACAAAATTTATAGTCTTTGGACATTAATGTAACTTTATATAAGAAATACAATACTATGTTACTATTTTTCTCAAAATCCAGTTAAAAAACACTTTGTTTCTTCACTGGATTTTGAGTGTATTTAGATCCAGTTAAGGAACACTTCCAAAACAAGTACTAATTTTCAAACTTAATCAGCCTAAACATTCTTGATAACTTAATGTTAACTTATATCAGAAATACAAATGTTTAAAATAGGCAATATTTATGCTTACCTTAGATTTTGCGCATCCAAAATGGAGTCGCGTAAATAGCACCTTTTTCTACAACGTTTTACAGACGATTAATACAACATTACAACAATAAACTTTAGAATCAAATATCACTAAAAGTAGGAATGCCAACTTACATGGCTTCAAACTCGCGGGAAATTTAAAACGTACCCATTCCTTAATATATTTAAAAATGTAGATTTTTGTTTCTTTACTGGTTGTTTCTTCACTGGTGCGCTTACTATAAAGATCACCATACTGAAAGAACCTTCTTTTCACATCGTTTAGTTCCTCAAGAATCTATCAATCCTTTTTATTTATATTATTGAATTGCCGTATGTTTTGCCTGAATTATTTACTTGCTTATATGCTATTGACTCATATCTCTTATTTATATCCTAAAATTTAATTAAATACAGCTAAACATTCCTTTACTAAATAAACACCTTATATAAAATAGATTTATATTTTCATTTTATAAAACACATAATTTTAGGCAATATTAAATTATATAAAATCATAAAAAAATATATTCACACAATAATAATTAGCGATAGCAGTAATAACGTCATCGATACACCGAACGATGTCGCTGATGATGGTTCAACGATGCCAAAATACGCCTCTAAATCATTTTTGATACTCGATTGCCATTTTAAGTTTTCTCTGCTTGAATCCAGGGCATTTTTGACAGCCTTTCCTAATGTCGAATTTGATTCTTGTTGGTTCATCAAATTTTGAATCTGGAAAGTGAAAGTATACATCGTTATCATCACTTACTTCTGAAATACCCTGTATATTAAAAAAATAAAGTATACGAAAGATGCGGTACTTACTTGAGCAACATGTGCTTCTGTAGTAAACCTGTCAGCAATACCAGATAATAATGTAATACCTCCAGAATAGCTACAAAGAAAAAATTCAAAAGAAAAATTATTTGTTTATTAACAATTTGACTTACTAATTGATTATGTTACTGTGATTTTTCATGAACTTTTCCAAAGCAACCTGTAAGCCTACAGAACTACTCGAGTGTACTGCTGACCAAACTGTAGCCACATCTTGAACCCTGATGATGGATGAACTGTTAATCGATTGGTCTAAGTAACTAAAATGAATAATTTTATAGTGGCACAACTATATACAGCATTTTAAAAATGAATGAAGAAAAATAATTTACTTACTATGACAATAGTTCTTTGTTCTTTGTACAACCAAGAGCCATCAATATGTAAATAGTTTCGTGAGGTTGATCAACGCTATGTAATCTCTTCCACAGAAACTCCCAATCAGCGCTACTATTATCACTATACCTCAAAGCATTACAGTAAATGACATCTCTTATATTCGGATTTATACTACAAAGCAAATAGTACAAAGTTAAAAAAAACCGAACATCATCTTAAATGTATAATTAAGAATGACTTTACCTAGTCCCATTGATTCTTAACAATCTAAATTGCTTTTTAGCTTCAACAATGCAGGTTGGATGACCCAATCTACAAGCCGTACTCCACAATAACGGCCATTTCAAACTATCCACATGTCCAGTAGCGTTCAAGTCCACGTAAGAAACATTTGCAGTAACGTTATTAAATTGATCCAACAATAAACTTGCTACTCGTTGTCCTAAAGTAGATTCTAATCCCAATCTTACTATGAGATAGTTCAAACCTCTAACTGCTGTGTACCATGGATAGTACGACATTTCCTTTTTCAAGTAATTTACAAACTGGAAAACTTCTGAATATTTAACGTAATGACCTCTGGCTAAGTTCAACATATCGTCCAATATTTGAGCTCTGTTCACGTCGGTTATTTGTAGATGATCCTCAAGAAGAGCTCTTACTAATTTGGTACGGAGAGTGGTGTCGTAGTGAACCCTGTAGTACCCTGAAAAGATTTGTAGATATATTTAAAAATAATGTCCTATTTAAACTGACTTACCAGCAGAATTATGGTTTATGATCAACCAGCTAAAGTTTCTGGCATCTAAAGTGAGTGTGCTGTTAGGTAGTAACCAAGTAGCGTTTGTCGAATAATTTTTATTAGACGTCATGTAAGTAATAGGTACATACCACTGGGTGGAATCTGAGAATGATGTGTTGTAGGAGAAACGTTTCTAGAAAATAAGATTTATTAATTACCAGAGAATTTCGCAAATATTGAGATGTAATTTACCTGTGATAAAACAACATTATTACCCCTAAGGTTTGCAGTGATAACTGGAAAACCAGGTCTGTACGTCCATGCATCAATTACTTGAGTAAAGTTAAGCCCATCTGGTAGGAGTCCATTTGGCACATCATTGCTAATTGTGTTCCATAATATTTCTGGAGTTGTTGATGAAAAGGCGCTTTAAAAAATCAGTTATAAATTAATATGAATAACTATTAAAGATTAATATATAATAAAGCACAGAAAGACAAGACCAAAGACCTTTTTCACAAAAGCGCCCTTCTTCAGTACTTCATACATAAAGCACACAGAAAAAAATGAGTCACAAAATATCTTTCAAAACCTGAAACATGAAACACATTAAATAAACACTGTTTTAATAAAAATTATGGTACAAGTACTTACTTATTGGCCAGATATTTTTGTATAGCAGTTTGGAAGACAGTTGAACCTATGACATTTTCTACCATCCTTATAACACTAGCTCCTGTCAGAAATAAAATAAAACAAACTTTAAAATGATAAAATGTCATTGAAGTGCCAATGAGTCTAACAAATGGTCAATGTAATATAATGTAAGATGCTTGTTTAATATCTTGATGATTATTTAATGTATTATTCAATGAAATATTATAGTATATATATTATTTAATGTACTATTTTAATGTTATATTTAAGGTCACATTTAATGGTATTATTTAATGTATTATTGAATATACTATTAATGTATAATTTGATGTATTATTTAAAGTACTATTTAATGAACTATTTATTGAACTATATATAATATAATAATAATAATAATAATACTCTCCCTAATTCACCCCCTTAAGAGTGAATTTTAACCCCAAAAGCTGAGCTTGTGAGGGGAAAGGGACGGATATTATTATTATTTGCCGTGGCGCTCCGGGGCGACTTAAAAATGATTGATGGTGCCATTTGACTTACAAGTGAGGAAAACTCGGAAAACCTCACCCACCATCATCGAGACGGTAATGTATGGCGATTTTTTTTAATCTGCATGTCATATCAACAGAAATTTATTTTCTATTAATACGGCACACATCAAATCCTATACCGAACCATGCAATTTAATTAAAAATCCACATGTTCTGGTCTGGGATTCGAAGCCCAGCAGTCTCTGACTAAACTTTTTAATGTATTATTTATTATGTTAAGCATTATATAATGTATTATTAATTGTATTATTTATTGTATTATTTAATAGGTTTAATATGTAAGCAAATATCGCCCTAAAACATTATATTAAGTAGGTTGTTAGTTTGTTAGTTATTGTATTATTATATGAAGAAAGTAATTTTTACTTTTCATATAGTTTTAGTTTGTATTATAATGTATATACAATTTATAAATGTGTATACTTTGGGTAGTAAAGTAGAATAGAATAAAATGTTATCTTAGTCTGAAAGATTGAGTTTAATTTCCTACTATATAATATTGAACCATCTAGGATATATCATATATTATTTAATGTATTATTTAATGTTATATTTAATGTATTATTTAATGTATTATTTAATGTATTATTTAATGTATTATTTAATGTGTTATTAATTGTAGTGTTTCTTGCATTATTTAATGCATCATTTTATGTATTAATTAATTAATTAATGTATTAAGATGAGAAAAATGATAATTATTAAATGTTGCAGAACAATGCTTTTTATTTAATTTAATGATCATTAGGAATATTTATTAATATAGTGTTGATTATTTATTGTAATTAAGAGTATTTAATGTTATGATAATTATTCAATACCTTGACCATTATTTAATGCAATGAAGGTTATTTATTGTACTTAATGATGATTATATAATATAAAGGATTTAAGGGAATATTACAATACATTTATTCGTTTTGTATGTTTGGAAACCTATCTCCTCAAAATGGTCAACTCTATGTTAAACAATATTCTTTATATAACAGACTGGATATGCATCTTGTTTGATCTATTGAAGTATGTGAATCCGCTACGATTTTCTGCTTCTTACCTTTATTATATGAAATTGTCCCAAACTTGTTGTTTATTTCTTTAGGTGTAAAAGCTTCTGAAGTTAAAGATCCCGATGATGAATGCGAATCAACGATGAATGCAGTTTGCTGCTGTTCAATTATGAACTGTTTCTCGATCTCGTAGTTTTGCGAAGAATTAATCTAAAAAAAATGAGGTTATGTTTACAAAAATTGCAAATGATGAAACCTTGAATTGAATTAGGCATTCCAAACAAAATGGCTACCAGTGGGTTTTCACAGGTTATGATATGGCAAAATTATGGCAACCCTGCAGGCCTGGTGATTTGACAGGGTCAATGAAATAGATAGCCTATGCCGTGAAAATGAAGTTATTATTATTATTTTTTTACTATATTCAAAGGCTGAAAATGGGTTTGTAAACGCATTTTTACTAAACCGAATCTGATTAATGAGCACTTGCGAGGCAAAATGGCCACGCGCTTAGAGCAATCTATATAACTATATATGTATCATACCTACAGGGTTGCCATATCTACACTGTCAGTGCCCACTTGTCAGCATTGAAATGCCTAATAATTAGAAAACAACCAATAAATACCTTGTTTAGTAGGAAATATTGGAAGTATCTGGCGAATCCTTCATTTAAAAATGTGTAACTCCACCACTGGAGGGTGACTAAGTTTCCGAACCACATATGGGTGAATTCATGTGCTATTACTGATAACATCCTTTGCTTATACAAGTTCGATGTATATTCTGGGTTGTAGATGAGTAAATATTCTCTGAAAATATAGGCAATTACAAGTTTTGTTTAAAACTATGCATATTGATTATTAACTTACAATGTCAAAATTACATAGTTTAAAATTTTATTAATTTGTTTAAATTTTCCTTTTATTAAACCATGTCCGTCAAATGTCACTTATTAACATTGATATGACAAGGATATGAAGTGTGTGAATATAGGATGTCGAACAAAAGAAAGGTTTGACAGGATATTAAAAAGGTTTTTATAGTTTTATTAAAGGTTTAAGCATAATCGAGTATAATTATTAAATAACATTGAAATATGTTTTCATCTATCATTTTTTTCCCAACTATTTTATTGGTAGATGTTTTGTACTATAAAATAAAATACCTGTAATTCACCATTCCCCAGTTCTCCATAGCACCAGCACTAAAGTCTGGTATGGCTAGTTGATCCATTTTCCCTATATTGGTAGATTTATAAGGATACCCAGTCCATGTGTCCAACGCATCTAACACCTGGACGCCGTATTCCAGAGCCAAAATTGTGTCATTTTCGAAATGCGATCTTGCACAAACGCTAATCGGAATACCGTCTACATCACTTGTAATAAATTTCATACAAACGAATTTTGATATGGTAAAAGCCAGAAGATAGGTCGACATAGTAGGAGTATCTTCAAATAATGTTGTTATTGATTTTGCAGTAGGACTGAAAAATGCATCAAAAGTTGATATAGGTACCCAACTAGAAAAAGGAATAAGGGGCTTCTGGCTCTCGTAATAGATAGTTGGGGAAATGGATACTCGAAAACGATGAAGAGAAGTCGATGAAATGATATGACACCTGAGGAGACGATGAAGAAACCTCTGAAAACTTGAAAACGAAGAAGAGAAGCTGAATTAGTGACGTCGAACGGTGAAGAAGCCTCTGAAGACTCATTCAACGTCTCCCTAACTGAAGGTGGCCATACGTCACTTCTTTGGTTCCTCCTCTTCGTTTTTCAAGTCTCCAGAGACTTCTTCAACGTCCTACTTTACTCGTTCATTTTTTTTTTTTTTTCGTTTTCGAGTCTCCGAAAATCACTACTTCAGCTGATCGTCTTCATCTCCAGAGACGCCTTTGACGTCTTCATGTTACCAAAGTAGCTCACTTGTTAGACTATTGATAAGACAGATACTCGAAAATGATGAGGAGAAGCCAAAGGAATGATGTCGGACCAGAGGAGACGTTTAAGAAGCCTCTAAAGACTTGAATACGAAGAAGAGGATCTGAATTAGAGATGTCAGACGGTGAAGAAGCCTCTTACGCTTCTTTAATGTCCTACGTCACTAGTTCAGCTCCTCTTATTCGTCTACGAGTCTCCAGAGGCTTCTTCAAAGTCTTTCCTGGTCCTAAGTTATTCCTTTGGCTCTTTGTCTTTATCTCCGAGTCTTCTTTGATGTGTTTGTCACCAAAGTTAGCCAGTAGCCTCACCTTTCTTCTACTTTATATTGATCTATAAAAAGCAATTCAAAAAAATAAAAAAACTTACAAAGTACTCATTACAGGCGTATTCGCAATGGCTTCAAATCCTACAGGATGCTGTAAAGTTAAAGTGAACACAGCTTTGAATCCAGGTTCATCGAAGCAAGGAAACGCCCTTCTGGCGTCAGTGGATTCAAACTGGGTAGTAGCTAAATATTCTTTGGTACCATTAGCAACAGTATATTCACTTCTATAAAATCCTAGCATATTGACAGGCTCCAAGGAGGCATTAAAAGTTATGTACAAAGTATAATCAATATTAGCAGATAAAGTAGTTGCTGTTAAAATCGTAATTGTTTCTCTAGTTTTATCAACAGTATTATTAACAATTTGTACAGAAGAATTAGATGTACTTAAAGACAAATTATAAATATCTACTAGTGAATGTAATACAATCTTGTTTGTGGATTCGGAGACTTCGAATAAAATGTTTACTGTGCCTGAGTAAGATGTGTTGCCACCAGTTAGAGCTTCTTCTGGTATATTTAGGTTAATATCGTATCTGAAAGGTATTGTGGTGTTCGGTAATCGATAGCCCTCATATTTATTGGTTACATTGTCCAGTCTCGTGTGAAAAAGATCGCCAGGGGTTGCTGATGAAGATGATAGTAACGAAAGAAAGAGTATCACCAACATTATGATACCTAAAATAAAAATATTCTTGTACAATTGTTGATACGTAAATTTAACAAATATAAAGGAAAGATTTAAGGACGGGGTATTCATTACATTTCTCTATGAATCTACCACAAATACATACTTACAGGGAGGTGCAGGTCATCATCGGCTATTAATTGTGATTAATTTATTAAAGACCGAAGTTTTTCTGTCGTTTGAATGTTCGTGTATGTACTTACTTAATTAGGGTAATTTTGACTGTCAGTTTGTGGAATTTCCAGGCTCTCATAATTATTTACACAATAATTCGTTTATAATATGTTCGTTATTTTATAAAAAAAAAATAAGTGATGCAAATGAGTGAAATAACATGTTCATATACAATTTTATCTACGAGTCGTCCATAAAACTTATAATCTAATCACAAATGAAACAGTATTAAAATATAAATGTATAATACATTATATACGTAGTTTTAATAAATATGTGTGCAGGGTGATTCTGTACCCAAAAATAAGATCAATATGGGTCCGCAGATGCTTTATTTCAAAAATAAATAATTTAAAATATTTCCGATATTGCTTTAAAGATTTTAATGAAATTTTTATTGTAAAATGTACCTAAAAAAGCACATATTTTAGCAAATTAAAGATGTAATCAGTTTTACCATGGTCGTGTGATTGCTCCAATTTCAAAGCAACCGCAGCTCCTTAGGTCCAATAGGTCCCGAGGTACAGCACTTTAAAAATTGGTCATTTTCCCTAAATAGTTCGAAATTGTAGTTATCTTCAATGCAGTATATGGGCTAAAATACTTATGTAAGTCATAGAAAATAAAGTTGTAGAGCAGTAATTTTGCTTAAAGACGGCAGTTTAAAAAGGACCTGTTTAAAGCTCTGAGCCATTACATATCTAAGACACGAACCTCCTTTTATAAAGTATTTAGCTCAAAACTATTTTCTCTAAGTTCACAGGTAAAAGCGCTGAATGATAGATACACATAAACATCGATGCCAGTTTATTATACAAATTCTGATGTCTGTATTTTTTGTTAGAATAGAAATAAAAATTGTGCATTTAATTTATCGTAGACCGCAAATATGGGCTAAGCAATAATAATAATAAGGTCTTTATTTTCACATCATAAAACAAAATTAAAGTATATTTACAATATTCTAAAAATACATATTTTATAATGTTGTGAAAAAAAGGCGAGGTGTCAGCTGAGTGAGTTATACTAAACATAAGCATAGCTCACCCTCTGTTTTTCAACCTAACCTTGAAAAAAAAAAAAACAACAAAAAATGTAAAAAGCAAATAAAAGTAAATAAATTTCCAAAAGCCTGAATTGCATTTACTAACTACAAATAACAATAAACACCAAAAACCTAGGTACGTAATAATTGCTTAGAAAATAGTAAATTACGAACTTTGACCTTAAATGTGCTCATTGGTAGAGTTTTAAGTGAATCTGGTAAGGAGTTGTATGCATTGACTATTTGAAAGAACGCTTGAAAGTTTCGGTTCTGTGATAGGGTATATTAAGTCTGAACCTATGTCTTGTATTTAGATTATGTATGTTATGACGGTATATTATTTTGTTAAACAAATATAATGGGCATTTATTTATTATTATTTTATGAAATAGACACAAGGAGTGATGCTGCCTGCGATTATACATGTTCAACCAGGATAATTGATTTAATTTATTGGAAATAGGTTGTCGGCGGCGTATCCCACAAATCAATCTGACACAAGAATTTTGTAATACTTGAATTTTTCGTGTATCCTGGTTATCAATATTCGGACCATATACGCTATCACATAAATTAAGTTTAGATAATACTAACGCCTAACAAAGATTTTTGTTTACTATTTTATCTAGATAATGTCGATTGCCGTAAATTATTTTCAGATTAGCGTATCCTATTTTAATACAGTTGGTAACGTGTTTTCTAAATCTTAGAACAGTGTCAAAAGTAAGGCCGAGGTTTTTTGCCTCTCCCGATGGTGTAATACTGTATCCATCAATATCAATTTCTATGCTACTTAATAGCTCAGAGTACTTCCTTCCTCCCCCAAAACACAATAACTTTATTTTTTCTCTATTTAGTTTTAAAGAGTGACTTTTAGATTCCTCAACAATTTTATAGACATCATGATTTACAGTTTCAATAGCATCTTGAATATCAGTGGGTCTAAAGGAGTAGTAAATCTGAGTATCATCAGCATAGAAATGTATTGAGGTTTTAGTAACAACTTTTCTAAAATTAGAAGTATATACGATATATAGTAGTGGTCCCAAGTATGCATCTAAATGTATTTCTAATATAAACTGATGCTGAATAGGCGTATTAATAATTCATAGAGGGATTTTTGAAATTGTTGAAAATTACTTCTATATTATTATCTATAATTCTATTGTTTGTTTCTTGTTTCTGTGTTTTGGTTAAAGTGACTGGTTTTATTTTTAATAATGTCTTCTATTGTGGGTGAAAAAAAGCGCAGATCTGTTATTAACAAACAAAGTCGTGGAGTAATATACAATGTTTTTAAATATTTTGACGCAACAAAAAAGGAAGGAGTTACTTTAAATGATATCAAACTTCAAACTGCACAAAAAAACAGGTAAACATACTCTGTAGTTTATTTGCAAATTAAACTTGCGTAGTTTTTCATATTTTTTTGCATTTTATTTTTGATTAATATTTTATATTTAAATTTTTTAAATTTATCTTCTGTTTCTAAAAATTTTTGTTTCCTAGTAAATGTAAAAAAATACTAAATTTAATATAATATTACGTTTTTACAGGTGTTTATTATACTACTGTTAAAAGAATTTTGAAGGAAGGTAAACAGTCAATGGAAACAACTGGAAAAATTACATTTTCCACACCTAGGAAAAACTTCGTCAAAAAATCAACCGCTACGAATCTCCCTAAATATCAATTGAGGGACATTCGAAGAATAATTCACGATTTTCATATAATAGAAAAGTCTCGTGTTAGTGTTAAAAGGTTAAATGATAAAATTAGGGAAGATTTAGATATCCACATATCAGAAACTTCATTAAGAAGAGTCCTTAAAAAATTACAATTTAAATGGAAAAAAACACAAAATAATCGTAAAGTTAAGGTGGAAAAAATGAAAATAAGAACTTTAAGAATAAAATATTTGAGACAGATAAAATATTTTAAAAAACAAAATAGACCAATCGTTTATTTAGATGAAACATATATACACAGCGGACATACTTCTTCCAAGAATTGGACAGACGATTCAACAGAAGGTTTGTTTTCTCTTATTTCTAAAGGCCAAAGGCTTATTATAGTTCACGGTGGGGGATAAATGGATTTTATCAAAAATAGTTTGTTGATATTCAAATCAGGGACCAAGTCTGGAGATTATCATTCCGAAATGAATTCGGAAAATTAAGGCAAATGGTTAAGAGAGAAGTTAGTACCTAATCTTCTACCTAATTCAGTACAGTACAACCTCAGTAGTTCGGACACTCGCTAAAACAGACACTCTAGTAATCCGGATTGCTCTATAAACCGGACATTTTCAAAATTTTACCTCTCTAAACCGGACGTTAAAACTTTTCGCAAGAAAACCATAACAATAATATTCCTGTTTTAACAAGTTAATTTTATGCGACGCCGACGTGAAGATTGTAGGCATTTTCGCATTCATTTTATTCCAATCAGTCGTATGTAAGACACATAGTAGTCTTCTGTTGGAAATGGCTCCAAGCAAAAGGCCCCACAAAACATTAACACACAGCAAAAAATGTGAAATAATAGACAGTCTAGATAAGTCTGGAAGTATTCGTCAAACGGCAGCAAATTTTGGAGTGCCTAGATCCACAATTTTTGATATAAAGAAAAATAAGGACAAAATAAGAAACTTTGTGTCAAAATCATATGAAGGGACAGGTATGTGCTTAATAACTTTTTGTCATTACAAAAATAGGTAGGCATACACGAGCGGATTTTTTAAGAGATCTGACAAGATTCGGAATGTCCCTTAAAATATCCCATCGTGTGTGTTGACGCAGACTCTAGGATCAGGTCCGTTGCATGTTAAAGTAAAGGTCATGTCCGACGGACCCCATCCTGCGGGTCTGATACCTAGGATAGGATGTGTCGAAAATTTCGCCCGTGTACTACCACCTAATGCATAGTTAATCTTAATTTCGGGCAAGCGGCAGGTGATCAGAAAAGTCGAAAATCCTGAAGTTGAGGCTGCTTTATACAGTTGGTTTTTACAACAACGAGTTGCTCACGTACCCGTTTCTTCAGATCTTTTAAGAACAAAAGCAAAGCACTTTTATGAACGCATAACCTAAAAAGATGATTTTCTGGCTAGCTCTGGTTGGCTTGACAAATTTAAGAAACGACACGGTATTCGATTTTTAAAGGTTTTTGGTGAGAACTTTCGATTGATTTGAACGCCATTACTCCATTTCAAGAAAAGTTTCATGCTGTGGTGCAGGAAATGGGCTTAAGAAAGGAACAGGTGTATAATGCTTGGAGAGCGTTGCCCGATAGAACATGGGTTCATAGTAAAAAAAAATCAGCTCCAGGAAAAAATCTCCAAAGGCCGTGTAACCTTCATGCTCTGTTGTAACGCTGAAGGCACACATAAATTACCACTTCTGGTTCTCGACAAATCAAAAACACTCAGAGTTTTTAAAAATGCTAAGCTACCCGTTGTGTATAAAGCAACTGGCAAAGGATGGATGACAATACCTGTATTTATGAAGTGGTTTAAAACATGTTTCATACCTAGTGTCAAAAAATTTTTAGCAGATGCTAACAGGCCCAAAAAAGCTTTATTGCTAATCGATAATGCACCCTCTCATCTTTCAGAGGAAGAGTTTAATTTCAATCCAGATTTTAGAGTTATGTTCTTGCCCCCTAACTGCACGGCAGTGCTCCAGCCAATGGATTCAAAATATAAAGGTGGGATACAGAAAGCGCTTGCTAAATTAAGTGATATTTAAAAATGAAGAAGAAGATATAGTAAAGATGTTGAAAGAATACAACTTAAAAGATGCAGTAGATAATTTGGATTTAGCTTAAAAATCAATTTCTCCAAAAAATATTCAAAAGAGCTGGGGAGCATTTTGGACTGAGTTAATTTGCGGCTCAGAGGAGTTGGAGGATCCGGGGTCTGATGAAAACAATCTGCCACTTTCGGAACTTCGAAAGAGATTTTGCGTTGTAAATGAGTCAGACCTTAAGGATATTACAGATTCGCTGAATATCATAGATCCAGAAACTGACTTAAGTAGCAAGGATATTATCCAGTGGGCGATTGGAGAAAAAGACACTATTGTAGACCAAA